TGACAAGATATGATCAGATCTTTTATTTTTACAGGCATGTAGATACCTTGACAAGTTTCTGACAATACATTTATGTTTCAACAGTACTTGCAGCTTATATACTATGAGCAATCTATAACAAGAACCAGTCTTACAATTGTTCACAAAATAAGACTCATCTCTAAATTAACACATGTACTTATTAAAATAGACCAAGTTTAGAGTCTCCACAATTCTCTTCTTAATTCGAAACACCAACAATCTTTTAACTGGGTCCACTTCTGCTTCTGTAATAAGCACAGCTGCAAAACAACACAAGCACTCCTAGAGAAATGTGCACTCTCCTGGCAAATTCAAAAGAACAAGAAATCATGGCAGTTCTGAGCCTGATCTTCAGCTAAACACACTATCACAATAACTCTTTAGCAATCATCAGATGATCAGCATTTCATATTGTGAAAAGAGAGACAAAATAATTTTCAGCATCAGTAAAGAGATTTATAATAATCCACAGGATTTTGCTTTTAGGCTGGCACCAGGTTCTGCTGTTAAGAACCATGGGCTTGTGCCCATCAGCACAGGACACAAACAACATTAGGGTTAACAGCTCTAACACTTATTGACAGACTGATAAGTTTTCTCCTTAAGGAGTGACTACTATGCAAAGTACTGTAACTTGCCTCTAAAAATAAAATCAACCACAAAATTCTACGATATTCACTAAAGGAATTGGAAGGCATACTAAGAAATGGGTTTGTTTCTCTACAAAACAAATATTGCAGTCACTCAAGAAAAAAACAAACAGAGCTTACTTTTTTTTCTACTTTTTCCCAGGATGCATTTCTTGGAATTCTTCCAAGCCCCTCTCTAAACTTCGGTGCTCTTCCTGAAATCTCAAATTTTAAGCACCGACACAGCTTACTGCTGCAGAAGCCCACAGCACAATCACGCACGGAATTGTCTCAGAACCCAGGAAAACAAGAGCTTGCAGCTTGCAGCTCCCTTGGTTTGGAGCCGATACCGTACGCCAGTACTGCTCCGTATCTCACTCACACATCTGGCTAAGAAAAAGCTCTCTGAGACTGTTTGACACCAGTCCTTACTCCCAGAATCACAGAACTTAATGTGCCTGAAGTTTCATAAGACCCCGGCACAGAAAACTTGGGTCCCAGAGAGACTCGCCCAGCTCCCTCACCATTGGGCATGTTCCCGGCCTGTTTCACAGCTTCAGGAGGTTCCAGGAGTTACTGAGAGCTCCTCTGATCCCCCTGTGCCTGGAGCAGGGAACCCGAACCAGCATCTGTGGTTCAATCCAGCCTGGCTGCAGCCACCAGAACAACCTAAGCACAGCTCTGCGGCTTGAGAGAGCTCCAAATGGGTTTAAACAATCCAGGGGCACCAAGACCTAGATGGCCCCTGCTCTCACCTTACTCAAGAGGGACGAGCTGAACGCATTCCCCCAGGGCACCCTCCGTGCCCTGACCTTATCAGGGTCCGGCCCGACTCACCGCCGGCCGGAGCTCCAGGAGTTCCCTTGCACTCCTGAGGCTGACCCGCCACTCTGTCTCAATAGCTTGGCAGGGAGTAGCCCTGGGAGCACTATCCCCCAGAAAAAACCTTTTACCGCCACCACAGTGGGGCAAAAATCTTCTAAAAAAACCCTAAAAAAACCTTCAAACACTGAATCACATACCAGCTCACCAAAGCGACCCCTCTCCCACAAGCAGCTCTTCTTGCCCGGGGGGAGGAAAGGTGCAGAGGGAAGATCACCACTAAAGACAGTCTTGACTCTGCTCTGAGACCAGAGCTGCCAACCTGCTGAGAACCGATTTGATGCAACACCCCCGTGGCTCCTGGACTACAAGTCCCAGCTCCAGTTTGCCACCCTGGGGCTCCAAGACAGGAGCTCTCAGGGAGGAAGAAAATCACTCCATGTGTGACCCAGTCCCATGGAAGACTCGTGTTCACTCTCACTCCAGCACAGCACAAAAATCTTTCCTCTTTAACAACACAATACAATTGCTCACTCTCACTCCAGCACAGCACAGAAAATCTTTCCTCTTTAACAATGCAATTCCAGAAAACAAACTTTAAAGCAACAATCACACGTATCTACTTACGCATTCTCACATCCATTCCATTCAACTTCACTCAGTCACAGCAAGACAATAATGTGGTCTTTACTTCCCATTTACTTGTTAATATCCGCCTGTGGGCACTGTAGTATCTCAAATATCCCAATTATTCCAATATTCAAATTCCAATAATCAAATATCTTGGATTATTCCTCAATTTGGCTGTTTTAAGTCCAAATTTCTTGGATTTAATCCTCAACTTGACAAAGTTTCAGAGAATCCACATTTTACTCTGTTTTCCCAGTGGATTGTGCTAGGAAAACCTTCGGCTCCCTTTCCTGAGGGGCTAACCCTTCCCCTGAGACCCAGTCCCAGTAACCCCGGGGGTATCTTGCAACCCCCGCTTTCCACTCCCCCAAAAATTACTTACCATCCATTTTCTTCTTTGGATCTTGGTGCACAAGAATTACGGAGCTAAATACCGCGGTTTTAGGGAGCCTTTTACCTTTCCTTTGCTTTATTCCTCTCCTTCTTGTCCTCGGGGTTTTCACCTGCAGCCGCTGGCCCACACTAGGAGAAACGGAATGGGGTCTGCTGAACTCAGCAGGGGCGCGCCTGTTTCCCCGTTCTGGATCTCCGGTGGTCCTAGAGGTGAGGTGCTTCTCCCAGACAGAGCCCCCAACTGTGAAAAACGAGATTCACTTAATAAATTATAAAAAGTTTAATATAAACAAAAAGACAATTAGGAGACAAAGGAAATAAAGCAAAAGGGTTAAAACGGCCGGGTGCCGTGGAGCGTTGCCAGGAACACACCTGGGATCTTGGGAACACTCTTTTTATCCCCTCCTGCTGTGAGAGCTTAATGCATATTCAAACTTTTTCAAGAAGTATTTAGCATGTCCCCTCCCTGGTTCTGCCTATTTAGAACATGCTCTGTATAGTTTCTATTTTTGCTGATTATCATTATTTTTGCTGACCATCAGCTTGGGCCCCACTGTCTTTGCCCTCTTGGGTTTCTTTGCTTTGTACTAGGAGATTCCTTTAAGCTTAAAACTTGTTAGCAAGAAAAAAGTACATACATGGCCAAAAAGTATTTAACATATAATATTCATCCTAATACTTGCGAAAGCCAATATCGCAATACAGATTTATAACATCAATGTACTTATTTTAGAAGTCAGTGGCCTTTCACATGCAAGGAAACTGTAATTTTGTACATCCTTTATGAAAGAGTTCTTATCTAGTGGAGCTGTCATTGTACCATCAACTTTCAAAGTCTGGAGAAAGATGATGACTGCTAATCCTAAACATGATGTTGAAATATTTCTTCACTTACCAAAAATCTCATTCTAAAAAGGACGCACCATTTTTATCACACTTGATCATCTTATTTTAGTAAATACAATAGTCCAATTGGTACCAAGATACCCAATTCCTGTGCTCAGCACTACTATGAACCTGCTATATAACCTTGAGCAAGTTACTGCAATTGCATATGCTTCTCTGGGCCACTTGTCACTTGTGTTATTTATCTGTTAAACAGTGTAGGGCAGAAATAATTACTTTTCATAGTGTATGGAGTTGAGCCTTTCTTATAAACATCTAAGTAACAATGTCAGTATTTCAGTCCTATGGGTCCTACTGTTACACTAATAAATATAACAATAACAATAGTAGAATTCTGGGTGGTAAAGTGGAAAGAATACCTGAGTTGTAAGTTTTTCACAATAAATTATAATGGAGACTTTATCTTGCTTTTACTGTGTGTATTAAAAATAGTTCTCTTTCCCTTGTTTACCTGCAAACCTTGATTATCTGAAAAACAAAATCAGAAATAGCTTAATATAGTTTAGTTTTAATCTTTAAGGCTCAGAAATAAAAATACAGTTATCAGTGGGGCACCTTACTCCATTGTGCCACCTTTCTCCAATTAGATTTTCATTCTCTTTGAAAAATTATAAACTTTGCTTATCTTAAATCATAGACTACACAAGACATAGGTTTTCAGTTTACTCTTAGTGATATATACATATATATATATGTTATATATGTTTTCAAAGTATACATTTCCTGAAAAATCTCTTGAGCTCTAGCAAGTGCTTCTTTTAAATTCAAACTGGTTAGTCAGTAAGACTAATGCAATTGTATTAGTGGGAAGTAGTTAACTTGGTACCTTATTAGTTACAAAGCTGACGACTTATTGTATCTTTTAAAACAATGTGACTTCTTTATGGATTTGTCCTGATTGAGTTCCTTGTAGGAGACGCTTTCTGGGGACGGTCAGAGACACGGCAAAGACCTCTATAATCGAGTTAAGTGTTAGAAGTTTATTTCAGGGCGTGGGGTAGAGAGGTAGAGAGTGAGAGAGAGGGCAAGAGAGAGAGAGGGCAAGAGAGCGTGAGAGAGAGGGCAAGAGAGACGGAAAAAAAGAGACCGAGCTCTTCTATACCACTACTTATATAACCTATACCTTTGAATATTCTATTCCTTTACTAACCAATCTTTCTAAGTATACTAATATAGTAACATTTGTGTACAACCTATAGAAATCGCTATTTTTGCATATTTTTAGTTATCTCAGGGTCCTTCAGACCTTTCCTTATAAGGCTGGGATGAGGGGTCTCAGCTTGGTTTTATTGCAGGACAGAATGTGTTCTGGCATACCAGCCCGGTTTCTTTGAATTATTCAAACCGTGCTATCATTTGTATTTCTTCCTTAGCCTCTCTGGCTACAAAGTCATATTTATAATTTCTTTCTAATTCTACCTTCCCAACATCTCCCCCGTTTTGTCTATGAATAACTAAGATATTAGATACGGTTCTACTCATTAGTTTCTGCATGCATTGGAGTATACAAGGTATAGCTATTAAAACTACAATTATCACTATACAGATTAAAACAAAAAGATAAAAACAACATGCACTTGGGTAAACGACAGAACTCCATTTTTTTTCTTGAGCTGCTTCTGGTAGATCACTTTCTTCTTGAAGATTCTGCGTAGATCAGGCTTGGGCGTCTGCTTCTTGGCTCTTTTTTGCAGGGTCACTGGCTGGTGTGGAGGTTTCAGCAGACTTTGATATGCAGTAGGGTTTCAGTGAGCTTTTGATCTCGTGCCTCTGCTTGAGCCGTGATTACTGCAGCTTGTGATGTTTGTGCTAAAAGAGCTTTTTCCAGCTTCTCCCCTAAGGTTCTCCCCAATTCAGTTGCTTGAATTGCTGCTACATGTTGTGGACTTCCTATTTTGTTACAAGCGTCTATCATTTCTGGCACTGTTGGCTTTTCTTTTCCCAGGGCTTTGATCACCTTCTTACATTCGGCATTAGCATTATTTTCGATAATGTCCCGTATCATAATTGGACGGGCTATATCATCACCACACTGGCGTTCAGCAGCTTGAATTACACGATCCACAAATGTTGTGAATGGCTCAGAGGCTTCTTGGCTAATAAGGTTATAAGCTTTTTCAAAAGTTCCAGCACGCTGAATTTGCAAAAAGGCTCGGCGTGCCATTTTTTTGATGTCATCTAATGCTACCCTAGGCAGGTTTATCTGATTTTCATTTCGGTCATCTGGAGGTTCACCTGTGAGCTTTGACAGGGTGAGAGCACGCAAATCTGGATCATTACTACGTCTATAATTGTCCAATACATTTCTGAGTAGTCTCTTCCATTTCAATTCCCATAGCATAAATTGCGAATCTGTAAGGGTGATGCTAGCAAGATTTTTGCAGTCATTGGGTGTGAGAGTATGCTCTTCTAGTGTACTTTTCAGCAGTTGTTTAAAATATGGAGAGCAAATGCCACTGTCCTTTATCGCTTTTCGCAGTTCTTTTATCTCCTGGGGTGGAATAGCTGTCCATGTTCTTGGACCGCCCGCCTGCTGACTAAATAACACCGGCATTGCTAGGGGGTTTATGTTTTCTTCTTTGCAAATTTGTCTTTTGACTTCCAGCCAGTTTGTAAGTTGGCTATCATCATAACATTCTCGGGAATTTATGTGTAGTGGAGCTTCGGATTTTACAATCTCACTTTGAAGTGGTAAAGTCAGGGGATTAGCTGTTGCATGCATAGAATAGTTCACTGTCTCTCCTGTATTTATTAATGCAGATACTGTGTTAGAAATTCCCCCTTCCTTTTGTACCTTTTGTGTAGCCAGGTGTAGCGGCGGCCTTGTAGTTGTAGTGTCGGCTGACAGTAGCTGCGATAGGGGACGGTCAGGGGGCAGAACGGGGTGCTGGACTTGCGGATAAGCCTCTGGGAGCTGCGGCACGGCCGGGGGCAGGGAAGCAGGTTTTAGTTGTTCGCAGTTGTAATACGCGGGGGCATCTGACAGCGAAGCGGCAGTTCTTGGTGATATTACAGCCGGGTCTGGTAGAGGATCGGGGGAATACACAGGACCNGTTTCGGGTCTCCGTGGCCAGGGACAAACGCGTAGTAGGGACTGGATCCGACGCGACAGCCACTGATGGTTGTTGCTTATTATGAAAGAGTTCTACGAGAGCTCTACACGCTGGGACTAGCTGCGCGGCAGTCATATCGCGGTGTGAGATATTATTAAAGAGTTTAATACCGACCATGTCCCAAAAATCTCTAGTAAATACAGCTGAACGGTCAGCGTTGGGGAAGTTAAGTAGAGTCCATTCTAAAAGATCTTTTAGCTCTTGTTTCGGTAAATTATTGGACTCAGAGCGTAATAAATGTTTTAGTCGCTTATAGAGGTCTCTGTCGTGAATAGAGTAAGATTGTCCCATGATTAAAACTTGTGCGCACTAACCTCAGTACCGGAGAAAACAGCGTATCCAATCCCAGCTTCTCGTGGGGGCTGGCCAGGCTCCCCTGCTGCGGCTCCAGACGCTGCTTTTCGGGTTCCTTCACCAAGCTCCGCTTCTAGCTGTTGCTTTGCAACACTGTAGCGAGCTCAGAACCCCTTTCCAGCACAGCACCAAGCGGTGCCAGGCACCTCGCTGTGCTCCACTCCCGGGCTGAGTCTCCCAGAGCTCCAAAAGACACCGATCCTCAGCGTCTCTGGACTTAGGAACTCCCCTTGCAACTTTAAAGAGCTTCGGCCCAACTCGCTGCTAAGCAGCGTGGTCCTTGCTCACGGTACTGGGAAAGCAGGCACGACAGATAAGTGTTAGTTACCGTCCATGAGGGTCTCTTACAGCTGAAGAAAACGCTCTGATCTCCTGGCTGGCTCGCCAATCTGTAGGAGACGCTTTCTGGGGACGGTCAGAGACACGGCAAAGACCTCTATAATCGAGTTAAGTGTTAGAAGTTTATTTCAGGGCGTGGGGTAGAGAGGTAGAGAGTGAGAGAGAGAGCAAGAGAGAGAGAGCAAGAGAGGGCAAGAGAGGGCAAGAGAGAGAGAGGGCAAGAGAGCGTGAGAGAGAGGGCAAGAGAGACGGAAAAAAAGAGACCGAGCTCTTCTATACCACTACTTATATAACCTATACCTTTGAATATTCTATTCCTTTACTAACCAATCTTTCTAAGTATACTAATATAGTAACATTTGTGTACAACCTATAGAAATCGCTATTTTTGCATATTTTTAGTTATCTCAGGGTCCTTCAGACCTTTCCTTATAAGGCTGGGATGAGGGGTCTCAGCTTGGTTTTATTGCAGGAAAGAATGTGTTCTGGCATACCAGCCCGGTTTCTTTGAATTATTCAAACCGTGCTATCATTTGTATTTCTTCCTTAGCCTCTCTGGCTACAAAGTCATATTTATAATTTCTTTCTAATTCTACCTTCCCAACAGTTCCTCACTATTTTTCTGGGACCTAAATGTTTGAGTACTACAGGTAATGCTTTCTACCAGTAAAATGTCAATCAGTAGCCTTTTGGTAACCTTTATTCAAAATAGATGTAGTTTTGCAGGTGTACAATAATGTAGATTTATGCTATAAACTCTTCTCAGACTCAAGGTTTGTTCTATTGATTCTAGTGCATAGTCTATACCGCCTGCATCAAATTATTACTACCAAAATTCCTTTGAAAAAGTTATCAGTGAGTGACAGAAAGTTCTGATGTGTATTGCCTCTTTTTTTGGGTTGTCATTAGTCAACCTCTGCTCAAGCACACCGAATCTGCAAAGTCTTTGGTCACTTTGTTCTTGATAGTCTTGCATGAGAGTAGAGGGAAATAAAATATACAGCCAATACACCATAATAGGGGAGAGTCCAGGTCTGTGCTACCTGTCATTCAAGTGACTGAAAAGTTCAGCTGAATGTAGATAAAGGATAACCCTTAGTAGAAACAGATTTTTGTGTTTCATACGCAAGACTATAATAGGTAGCTTTAAAAAAATCACAGAAGTAGATCATATTGCTGAATAAGTGAGATTATCCAAAACAGCAGTTGTTTCCTAACAGCAATGCAAATAGAAGTTTGTATTTGCATCCTGAAACACTGAAAGCTTAAATAAAATTTGGGTATTATGACTGATGCTATGAGAAGCAGAGGTAAAGAATGAAAAGAGCAGATCAAGGTAAGAGCTTGGAATGCAGATTTACTGAAGGGATAAATTTTCTCTTAAATTTCCATCAGAAGAAAGACTTGTCTAGATTTATATATATGTTATATATATAGATATGACATATGGGCATAATGTAATTTTTAGCATTTGTAATATCAACTTTGAAAAAAGCATCAACTCTGGTTTTTTGTGAATGTTTATTGATCTCTGAAAAGCATAATTTTCTAGGTGAAATCCAACAATGTATTGATCACTTCTGCAAATTATAATGGTTTTTCTTATTTCTGGACATGCCAGGTATGAAATGCAGCTTTCAGAATAAGCAAATTAGAACTTGTGAACACTCTGTAAATGCTGTAAATGGATCTCTTACAAAGATACAGATTCTTTCATTTCAAGTTATGTTTGAGCACTTGTTCTTACAGGAATGGCTTAGCATCCTCTATAAATCATCTATGATACATGATGCAGTTTTCCTATGGGTGTTATGAAATGGAGAGGAAGCTTTGGGATGTCTTTCAAACATATTAGCATTTTCCCAGTGCCTGCTGTTTTGTCCACTTGAAAGCTGGAATCGCCATTGTCTTGGGCAAGTTTTCAAAAAGTCCATAAAATCCTAGTAATTTCTTAGTATCAGGTAAAGGTGATGTAGGAGAAAGGTTTCATGTGCAGTTGAAATTTATCTTACATTGATTTAGTCTGCTTTGAAAGGAATGAAGGACTGGTCTGGTTGGAAGGTATTTTTCATTAATAAGGAAGTGCTTTAGTCTTGTCCAATGCATAGCAACAATAATGAATAATTATTGCAATGTAAATCAGTCAACCAGGATAATAGTTGTAAGTATTTCTAAACCTGAAATCTAGTCAAGCAGCAGTTCATCCCTTTGTATTAAAGTTTCACAAAGCATGAGCTCTGAAGTTTAACACATCAATGTATTTTGATTTAAATTGTGAGTCATATCTTGAAAATATCATATCTGTATCTGAATCCATTTCTGATACAGATTCTTAATTAATTTTTAGTCTTAATTATATGATATTAGTATCCATACTAATATATACCCTTAACTGTTGCTTCTATTTTTCTTTCAGTCATTTTGAAGGACACTGAGGAAAACAAGGATTTTAATTTACAAAATTGGAGCATTTTTTCATATACTCTAAAACTGACTGACCTTGCTTTATCTGATCTATATTTTTCATCCTTTGATGACAGGACAGGTTATTTTCTTGACTGAAAGGACTGCTATAATGATAGAAGTTACTTAGATAGGAGGAGTTGTGCTCTTTTGAGTCAGCAATTTCATGAGCAGTCAGCACTTAATTTTATAGGAAAACATCTTGCTTCTTTTGTTGGCAGACTTGCATTTCTTTTTGTATGCATTAGTGTACTTGCTTATGAGGTGTATCAAGGAACAATCTTTCTGCAATTTTATCCAAACCCTGCTCCTTTCTCCATATGGATGATTATGCATACTCACTGGTGTTGACATGAAAAAGGAGAGGGCGTCAGGTGTTAACAGTCTGTCTTAATACAGGGACAAAAGAAAGGAAAAAGTGCTCCTGGATGTTGTCTTTCATTTGGTAAGTTAACCAGTCTGACATTAATGTCCATGTATGGACCTAACAAAACAGTTCCAAATACATTTCTAGTGCTGTATGCTGTGATGTATTTTATCTGGAGTGAGAGACAAAAACTTTCAAGAACTATTTATCCTATCTGCACATGCTCCTTTGTTCACACATTGGATCTCTGTGCACAGCAGTGTTGTGACTGATGGTGGCAGAGCCTTGCAGTTACCCCTGTGCATCTGGGTACATGACTTAGGTCTGAAGCCAGGTCTGTACTGTTGGTTGCAGCTTGCATACTGCTAGAACTAAACTTTGTAGTTCTGCTGGTTTTCAGATGATAGGGTTTTCATGAACTGCTCTGGTGGCTATGCTCAATTATAGTAAAGGGCTTTGTAGTCTGTACTGGTAAAGCAGTTTTTCTTTCCTGGGTTTTGCAGCTCCAGTGGAGAATTCCAAGTACAATTACTAGACTCTACTGTTAATTGACTTGATAATTTTTCTTATTGATAACTTTGAAACCAGAATAGTGTGGGCATTCAACGGTGTCAAGAAACTTAGAAGACTAAATGAACTTGCAAGTGAGTAGATGAAAATTGTGCACTTTACAGTAACTGAATACCACCATCTAGATGATAATGCCCAGAGAGTAATTTAGAGATAAGGTTTAATTTAGGTAGTTTACAGCCAATTTTATTAAAGTTGTGTAATCAAAGTTTCTAACCTTAAATGGATTTTTCTAAGGTTTTTTACTTACTAGCAATCCGTCAACACAGGAATAGGTGCAGATCCGGGGTAATTATATGGTCACATAAGCAAAATACTAGTGAGGGGTATTATTTTTCTCATTTCAAACTGAAAACAACATTATTAAAACCCCTTCTAATTGTTCGGAAATCTGTACCGCTACAGTTAGTAGAGTACAATACTGAAAAGATTAATTTTTCTCCTCCCTTATCTGCCAATTCAGATTAACAGGCTGTTAGTTTATCAATGATGCATTATATGTAATGCAATGGAACAATCTCTTAATTTGAGCACCTAGTATGGTGTCAGTCTAAATATCCTTCAATTGATTTAATTAGCAAAGCACCATGTTGATCACTTTGCAATTAAACTTTCAGTTTGTGTGAGGAAAAGAGGAATCCCTTTACAAAACAAAATATTAGAATTAGACCTGTAATAACAGTAATTTACATGGCTGTTCTAAGGAATGTGTTAAACAGTTAATGAATTATTCAACTCTAGTTGTGTGTAACATTTATAGATTTTAGTAAGCTTTCCCATACTGAATTGTACTACTTCTTGCATATTTATTAGTAGAAGAGGGCTCATGAGCAAAAAATA